ACTCTTTCCTGCAGGGGGTCGGACTCGATGATCTGTTGAGGTCCCTTCCGACCCTAACATCTATGAATCTATTGAGGTCCCTTCCGACCCTAACATCTATGAATCAAGTCTGCTTCAATGTCCCTGCATGTCTACAGGCTCTCCTGACTTTTTACCTTATTCATACTGCCTCACATCTTTCCTTAGGGAAATATTCCCTAATCATTTATATTGTACCTGAGGCATATTGAATCGCCAAGCTTTGATAATGCATTTAGATGTCCACCGATTGATGTCTCCTATCCCAAGATGTTGTTATTTGTCCTAACCTTGTTTAATGTACTGAAGGTAGAACTTCAAGTCCCTGTCCATACTTCGGTTAACGACTGTATTTTAAGAACAAGTGTTGACAGGGAGTTAGCTTGGGTTTCTTTCCCCTTCATAGACATACATTTTATTATAACCGAAAAATGGCTCAAAATCTGAACCCTAACACTGAAACCTTTTTGAATTATGAAGGCTGATTTATATATATATATATAATATACTAATTCCTGGATATAAAGCTGCCATTACAGTTTTGAGCCTTTCTTCAGTTCAGAAACCAACAATTCATCTCCCCCCCACCTCTTTTTTTAGTTTAGCTGTGATTTCTTGAGAAGAAGAATCTTAGAAAATAAATTTAGCCTAGATTTTTTTCCTTGAAGCCACATCACACAGTGGCCTAACCCAATTCTAAGTACAAATGCTGCCTTACCTCTTTGGCCTGTCAGTATGAAGTTTTATGGCAGAAACTACTGAATTGCTAATCTGGTTCCAACAAAAGTTTGGGACAGGGTTGTCATCTGTAGCTGTTTTTCATTTGTCTTCTACATATTTTGTAATTGTTGAACTTTGATTTAACTTTAATTCTGATAAAATAATATCAACTAAGTATACACACATTTCTGAAACAAAAATGCCATGTGTGTGGTTTAAAGAGAATGGCAATAAATAGGATCTTTTTTTTCCTTTTTCCCTGGGCTTTTTAAAGAGGAAAAGTGATAATGAAGTCAAATTTAGATGTGTGATGCACCCTGACTCTGGATGTGGTCAGATGTGCCTTTGAGAGACGCTTCCACACCTTCAGCGGTACTCTTCAGCCCCCAGCCTCTTTCTTCCTTCTGCTGTTTGACCACTAAGAACAGACTGAGATGCTCTGAAGGTCACCTCTCTCATCTATGGTGCCTCAGCTTTACCTGCCTCGCCTAGGTCTTGCCAGATTTTAGCAGAGGGGACTTTGCCAGCTTTAAGACATAACTTGTCTGGTTATGTGCTCAGAAATTTTAGATCCCCTTCTGTGGAAGAAGCTTGCCTATATGGTTAAATACTGTGAATTCACACTTAGCCTTGACGATAAATTAGTTTTAAAAGATAACGAAAAGATGTACTATAAAAGCAAAACTGTATTATAACAATAGGCCAGCAAAGAGATCCTGCACATCCACTACTGGTAGAGGGATGCCAAAGTACCTTGCATGAGAGACCTCTGTGACACCTCAGTAGTCACCTGTTCCTTTCACCTCCTTAATTTGCCATGATGACATAGTGAGCAGAATTGCTGCCAGTGCCCTGAAGATGACCACCAAGAGGAGGATTGTCAGGCCACCGTTAAACAAGAGCCTGGCCACATTCCTGAGTGGGTTGCCAAGGGGCAAGATCACGTGAGATAGCAGGGAGTTTGCCTCGCTGTGGAGCTGAGCCCATGATGCCATGTGATGCCTTGGGAAACGCATCAGCTGCTGCTGGTCATGGTACAAGGAACAGCAGGATCTGGGGGTCTTGCTGTTCCTACCCCAACCACCAGCCAAATCACTGTAACCCCCTGAATCAGGCCCTGCCTGGAGAAGTTTTTGAAGGACACCATACTGGTCAACTACATGGGTGACCTGAAGGCAAAACCTGACCAGAACCAAATCTTCAAGGTCACCTCAGAGTGGGACACCAGCAACAACTTGTCTTGCAGAAACTTCACGTGCTTTGCAGATTGATGCTTCATTCACTAGGCATGTTTCATTTGCGTTCCACTTGACAGCACTGTTTCCTACAACCATCAAGACAAGAGGGCCAGAGGTATGGCTATGAAAGCAAGAGTCTGCCCCATGTCCTGTGTGTCTGTAAGCCCCACGTGAGAGTGTGGCAGCTCCACCATAACACCAAGCCCGGACCGGCCCTGGCCCCAGCCTGCAGTGGCAGCCTGCCCTCACCCTGCATGCAGATCTGGGGCCACCCCCCTCCCCACAGCCTCCCAGGGTGCATGCAGTAGCAGGAGCTGCCCCCCACTCCCAGTGCCCCCCAGATGAGCCGCTTGCGGCTCCATCCTGTGCCCCAGCCTCACTCCCACTCCCTCCCTCACTGCTGGGGCCTTGATTGTTGCCGCCGCCCCCACACGCACATCCCTTCCCTCACAATAGACCTACCAGCCAGACCTGGCTGCTTTCCACGCTGCTGGGCTGTGCTCCTGGCTACCTGTGTACTGCGCTGCATCTGCGTCCATGCACAGGGCATTTATCAGCAACATTATCGGCCACATCAGCCAAAAAAAGTCGTTTGCCGATACTGTCAATTTTCCTTATATTGGTTCTGATCTGATATGGGACTGATACCGATGCACCTCTAGTCATTAATTGTACTGTTCAACCCATTCACTTTATCAATCTCCCGGATTGCTTTCAGTAGTCACTGGAAGATCAATGCCGATTCTGGTAGACTCCCAGCCAATCCGTGAGGGTTGGCAACCCTACCCCCTACCCATATACACACCATAGAGCTACAAAGGCTGTAAACACCTTGGAATATTCCCCACCCCAGCAGTTGTACACTACATGCTACAACCATTGTCTAAGAATGACTTACAAACCATACAGCTCTCTACCAACATAGTTACCATACATGGTGTATAGTTTCTCTTCTCTCCATACTGTAACATAGGAACTTTTCAACTCCTTTTCCCTGGGCTAATGTATGACTAACTGCATGTCTTAGATTGCCTTAACATACACCAGCTACGTATCCTTGTGACTACTGTGCACGGGTTCTTTGTGACTACCATGCAGAGGTTCAAAGCTATGTAAATAACCATACTTTTAAATATTTTCTAATCAAGTTTTAAATCTAAAAACAGGAGCTTGCCTGTAAGAAATCAATAACCAGATGTTGAGGTAGAAAGATATAAGAAGAACCGAACAAAAAGAAACTTTGGAACAATAATCTGATCTTACCATGCATTTTAACCATAGTTATGCAGCTTCAGCTCGGCTTAACAGTTGAAAAGCAGGTCCTGCCTCTGTTTTACTGTCAGGGCTCCCTGCAACTTCTGAGAGCCAGAATACTCAGCCTGCTAAGCTGCCTGCTAGCTGAAAGCCTAAAGTCATTCTCTATGCCTGAGAAATATAAAGGCAAACACTTGCTCTCAGGGCAAGGCTTCAACATGGTTTCTTATCTGGCCATTTATTTACTACATTAACCATTAGATTCTTGGGACGCCTATGCTATTCATATAACTTTCTGCCCCCAAGGGTGTATTGGTTTACAAGACCCAAAGTCTTTTCTAATGAACCTGGAGAATATTTACGTCCTTTCAGACATAAAGATTACTGATTCAATACCCTAAAGTCTCTCATTAATTTCCCCGCTGTGAGAATTACTTATCTTTGAATAGCTAAGTATTGTGCTTCCTACAGGTCTTTTCTTTTAAAATATAAATTTATCATTGTCTGGAAGGGCTTGGCTCCAGGGTCTGTTTGACTGACCATTAAACATACCTATGTCAGATGCTAATTCTCAGTGATTACTTGTCTTAAGTGTGAATAGGGGAGGGACACAAGTTAATTATTGCCCTACTAAATAGTCTTGACCAAAATATGAAATCTAATAATTATATTCATATCATATATGACCATTCATACAGACATAATAATGATAAAGTTAAAAAACATCTTGATGCTGCTACCTATACATTTGATACCAAATATGCCACATCAATAAAATGAATTCCATGAACAGTATTGTGGGTTTGTGACAAGGTGTATGAATATTTAGGTGAGTAGCTAAAGAAACGCAGTGGTATGGTTATATACATCAGCTTTTCTTACAGTGGAGGCCTTTGTGATAATTCCAGTGAAGTTATATAGGGATACTGGGCGTGTCTACACAAGACAATACAGTGATGTAGCATCAGTGGGCACAAACTGTGACGCTACTGCTACATCACCATAATGACGATCTATCTCATTATAGCACGTCGCTACAGTATCAAAGCATCTAAAAATAACAGCGTACCGGCAAAAGCAAGTATTGAATGATGATGGCGTAGTAACAACTGTGCCCTGGGGGGCACGTGTAGACATGCCCACTGTGAATTAAAATGTTGCCTGACACTTGTATTCTGGTTTCTTCTCTCCCCCTATACTCATTTATCTTAAGTAGGTACGCGGTAAATTACTATATCTTGATTTAAGTTTATCCTAAATTAAAAGGTGTTTTGAACCAAGGGTTCTAGATCTGTGTACTTTTTGTTGTTCTTTAATATTGTGGTGACTGTCTTTTTGCATTGTTTTTATGGGGTTGTTTTTAACCAAATACAAACAGGTCTTCTAAATCCAGTCCTGTTCAGAAATGACTTGTCTGTGGGTCTTGTGCCTAGATATCATGCAATCTTCAGTAAATCCTGAAAAATGATGATAAAGCTATGTTTTCCTCTCAGATTGAGACTCTAGAACATGATCTTCAAGCAGCGTTGGATGAGTTACAGGATGTAAAAGAAGAACGCTCCTTTTACCAGGATAAAGCAGACCGACTAAACCAGGAACTTAATCATGTCCTAGGAGGACATGAAAACCGCATCATTGATGTGGATGCTCTGTGTATGGAGAACCGGTAAGTGCACTCTTTTTAAATGTGCAGCAGATTGCTTAAACTGGTATGTGCATCATGAGCTCAGTTGCAGCAGAACTTTACAGAAAATGTTTCAAATAATGAACCTTGAGAAATTTGGACCTTTGGTATTTTGTTTGTTTTGATTGCTGTTCTGTTGGTTTAAAGATTTATTCCTTCTCAAGATAATACTGTTTCATGGTGGAGAATTACAAGCTTCTGGGAAATATTTGGGTTTCACTTGACTACAATGATGTTTTGCCATCTGTTCGAATGGGGGGGAAGAAGAGTGGTGCAGACTGCATTGTTTTGAGTCTGTTTGTGGCACAGCATCAAAGGCAGACTCAGAAGTCAGCATCTTTGTACCATTCAGACATCATGTGGTGAATGTCATGACCAGATAGAGACTTCATTTGTAAAGAAGGGGCCCAAGCACCCTGAAGGAACTCTTTTTGACCAAAGTTTAACTGTAATAAGGGCTTATATGCACCGACAAATTTTCCATTGTAGTTATATGGATAAATTTCCCTGTCTAGGCAAGCTCTAATTATTTGAAACTACTTTGGGAAAGAGAAATGTAATTTCAATGTGATCCATGCCCTCTCCTAAGATAACAAAGGTTTAGTCACTGTTAATATAAGTATTTATGTTTTTGGTAATTACCGAACACTTGCAAATAATTTAGAAAACAGAAATGGGTTTACAAACGTCATTTGCTCCTTTCAACATCACTTTGAGGTAGAGAAATATGACCCAGGGTACTGCCTTGTGCTCATCAGCTCCAGAATCGCTACCTTTTATTTGACCTCATCTGTGTAGTTCTTCATTGATTTAGTAGTGTCAGTTTGTTTTATGATAATTTCAGTTTTAACTGAAATAGTTAATCTGGTGCAGAGCCTAGTGTGGGCACAGTTTTAAGAGTATAAAGATGTGTTGTACTGGTATAGTTTATTCTCCTTTCCACATGGGGAGAGCTGTCTGGGGTAATTGCATCTTTATACCTTTATAACTGCATCCGCATGAGTAGGGGAATAGTTACACCCCTTTAATTATAGCCACAAACAGGCATTCATTTTTAGTGTCTGAAATTTCTGAGAAATTTCTGCCACTAGAGATGTTTCCAGGAGAGGGAGCAGTGCAGGCATTCACCCTCTCTCCTCTGTTGCTTGTGCTTTTCCAAGACCTCGGTGATCCCAGTATGGGGAAAGCATGGGAAGCAGTGGTTGCTCCATTTTCTCCATAGAGGAGTGGAGGGTCAAGGAAAGACTTCCTGTGATTCTAGACTGGACTCAGAGGGGAGTGGGGCAGCAGGACAAAGCCCCCCATTTGTACTGGGAAGTGTGGGGCAGCTGCTTCAGTTTCTTCCCAGGCTAGTCCAGGAGGGGGCTGGAGCAATGCCCCGTGACTAGGCAGTCCGCATTTGGAGGAAGCCTAGGGACCATTTCTCTACTGCTGCACTCTAGTCCCAGACTAGACCAGAAGGGGAGCATACAGGTATTCATTCTTGTGAGTGAGCTTCTCCCATAAGGGACCCGTGGAAGATCTTTCTCCTAGAGAAGGGCGTGTTTTCCCTGGGAGAAATTGAACAAATGCTTGTACATTGGTAGCTTCTACCAGAAGATCAGCTGTTCACATGCATGTGGCCTTTATCAGCTTGAAACCAATGTGGCTAAAATTTTACACTTTAGTGAAAAGCCAGACAGAGTAGGAGTGTATGATTGATCATTATGAAATGATACAAAAATTGCATAGGCAAGTTGTTTGCTAATATTTATTGAAATATAATCTTCCAGATGCCCGTGCCACAAATTTAGAATTGGGAATACCAATAAATATCTCCTGTTTTATGATAGATAGTTCCAGGCACCTTCAGTCCACCTGCCCATGAGCTTAGAGGCAAGAAATGAGATTTGTAGATCATCCATAAGATTTAACACATCCAAGCATGAGAGACCAGAGGGCATTAAGGAGCTCTAAAGTAGAGGTCCCATTACACAGAACACTCTGGCAGCAGCTCTCAGTGGTGTGCCTTGTGCAGAATGGTGAACTCATGGCCAGTGCTTAAAAAGTAATAGAGGAAACAGTATTACATGACTGTAATGTAATATTATCTGCCATACTTTTCCAGGTACCTCCAAGAGAGATTAAAGCAACTTCAAGAAGAAGTCAATCTTCTTAAGTCTAACATTGTTAAGTACAAGGTAAAGTTACTAAGTGTACTTCTATGCTTGGTTTCTCTCTTTATTTAGGTTCATTTTTTGTGCTCTTTAAAAGTATATTATAACCTTTATTATAAAAATATTAAAAACAAAAGGTAAACATGCAAAAGTGAGTGCCCTCCCCACGGCAGAGCATAAAACATTTGTCAGTAATAAAAACACTTATACCACCAGAGATTGAAATGCCCTCCCCTCCAACACCCTTCATGGGGTTACACATTTAAGACTAGCTGTCTGTCTTCCACCCTGCAGAGTTCCCCCTCACTGACCCAGCACAGTACAAATAGTCCACATTTTGTTGCAAGGTAAAGAGTCCAAACTCAGATGTGACGTGCCTGGACCAAGAAGCGGAACAGTTGGAGGGTGTCATTGGAGCTGGCCCCTGCATGCTGGTTTCTTTGGCTTTTCAGGGTCACCATCTTGGCCTGGCCAAGCAGGAAATTGGCCAGGCAGACCATGCTCCCTTCACTTGCTCAGTAATGGATAAAGAAAACGTAAGAAGTCTCAAAGAAGTTCAAGTCCAGCATACTGAAGCGGGTGCTGGGGGAAGCAGAGTGGCCACAGTTGAAGGGCAGCCCAGGAAGGTGTGGAAGAGAACCTCTTCCACCTCCTTGCAGAAAGGGCAAGCTGGTGATGTTGCTAAGTCTAAGTGGTGACCATGTAGCAGCCACCACTGGATGTCACCATTTTTCTCAGTGATGGGTAGCTTGTACAGGGTGCACCAGGCCAAGCAGGCTTGCTCTAATGTTGTTGCCACTAGGCGCCACTTCTGGATCATGTCAGGGCAGCTGGTGAAGACATGGGCATGACTCATTTTGACTGTCCACGTGTACAACATAGGATCACAAAGTAGATCCCACAATTGTTCTTGTTCAACTTGGGGAGGGAGCAGGGTACCAGAAGTTTCACACAGCCACAGCTGGAAAAATAGGTGGGAATGAGGGTTGTCTGTCTAGCAAGCTGCCATCTGGGAGGGCTTTCATAGATTTCATAAATATTTCGGCTGGAAGGGACCCCGGAGGATCATCGAGTCCAGCCCCCTGCCCCAAGGGCAGGAAGTCAGCAGGGATCATAGGATCCCAGCAACATAAGCATCCAAATGTGTCTTGAAGGTGTTCAAAGTGGGTGCTTGAACCCGGAGGCGGTAGTCTATTCCAAACCTGGGGGCTCGGACAGTGAAGAAGTTCTTTCTTATGTCCAGCCTGAATCGGTCACGGCGGAGTTTGTGACTGTTCGATCTTGTCATCCCTTGGGGTGCTCTGGTGAACAGACGTTCCCTCAGATACTGGTGGTCACCCCTGATAAACCCCTGATAGGTGGCCACCAGATCACCCCTGAGCCTACACTTTTCCAGGCTGAAGAGTCGCGTGGCTCTCAGCCTCTCATCATAAGGCCTGTTTTCCTGACCTCTGATAATGCGCGTGGCTCTCCTCTGCACCCTCTCGAGCTTCTCCACATCCTTTTTGAATTGTGGAGCCCAAAATTGGACGCAGTACTCCAGCTGTGGCCTCACCAAGGCCGAGTACAATGGGGGAATGATGTCCCGGGATTTGCTTGAGAAGCATCTATGGATGCAAGCCAGCATTTTGCTCGCTTTACTAGCTGCAGCATCACACTGAAGACTCATATTCATCTTGTGGTCAATCATGACCCCCAAGTCCCTTTCATCTGTAGGGCTAACCAGCATAGCACTGCCGAGTCTATAAGCATGCTGCAGGTTTTTCCTCCCAAGGTGGAGAACCTTACATTTTTTGGTGTTGAACACCATCAGGTTCTCGTCCGCCCATTTCATGAGCCTGTCAAAATCTGCCTGGCTTGTCATGTGTGGAGGTGATCCTTTAAGGTAGCAAGCACTTTTGTGGAGGGAATCTTTCCCTTCAGACAAAACACGTGAAGCAAAGTGAATGGAGTACAAGCCCAGTTGGTCGGCCAGAGCTTTTGCTGAGCACCAGGCATGCTGGGCTGAGTCAAGGAGGTGGATCCACTTGACAGTGTGTGATGAGATGAGAGAAGTGATGAGTCTTCCAGAGCTGAGCATTGGTGTCCTTTGCTGCAAGGTCAGGTTATAGACCAGGAGCTCCTGCAGCAGTTCTGGAAATCACAAGTGCCTGCCCTGGGGTTTCAGTTGGAAGGAGGCTGCCAGGCCTGTGTGATGCTCTGCTAGAAAAGCACGAAGGCATCCCAGCTCAAGTGATCAGGATCCAAAGAAAAGTTCTTGATGAGGGTTGAAGTCTCCCACCTAACGCAGGAAAACAAAGGCCAAGTATTGCCAGGGAAAGGGTTTATTAGCCAAAAGCATGCACTGAAGGACCTGCAGGAGGAAGGCAGCCATCCTGCTTGCCAGATTGATCAGGCCCTGATCCCCCTCGTTGATGGTCAGATAAGGAACCACTGAAACCAATGCTGGAGCCAGTGGTTCCTGTTCCAGAAGTCTATGACCTTCTGGGGTCTTTTGAGCAGGGTCATTGATGGGTCCAGGATGGTAGCTGCCAGGTCGTTCATGACCAGGATCCAGGTGTGGTAGGAGAGGCTGGTAGGCTCCAGTGCCACTGTTGTAGTCGTGCCTCAGCCTCCTTGCCAAGAACTTGCCAGTTCTTTGCTAGATAACCTGGTGGGCCTAGAAAAATGTCCAGGTCTTGGGTACCATCAAAGCACCAGGATAGGCCTCCAGACGGATCTGGAGGCTGAGCATCAGCCCAGGTGCCCAACAGAAAAGTGTCACTTTTGGCCCACTTGATGTGGGCCAAGTAGGCATGCTCATAGGCCTGCCGACAATGGATCAGGGACTAGACATCAACCTCACTGCTCATAAAAACAGTCACATCATTGGTTTCTGCTGTCACCTTAACTGTGGGGGCCAATGTCTGGGGCTGCAGCTGACAGAAGGACCAAGCCTGTCAGGTGCTGCAATGGTACATGGAGCAGTGGCTCAATGATTAAGGCACAGAGCATTCCAGATAGGGAGCAGTCCTGGCAAATGACCCTGCATGCTGGGAATGGGACACACACTGCTCTGTTCACCTTCAGAAGGCTAGAGATGCCCCAGTACAAGAGCTGAGACAATTAAATGATGAAGAGAGACCAAAAGCCAAAGGCTTCCAGAGTTGGGAATAAGAAGTCCTAGTTGACCCAATTAAAATTCTTTTCCTTGATCCAGGGAGACAAAACCACTATTCAGGCTGGAGAGTTCCATGGCTTACATGTCATGTAGTAGAAATGGGTTGTCCTGGATGGTTCTGCTGGGTACAAAGTAGCTGTGTTCACGGCCTACAACTGAGGCCATGATCACTGTGAATCAAGTGGCCAGGACTTTGGTTAGAATTTTTCAATGAGTGTACAGGAGTGATACCTATTATCGGTTCTTAATGTCACTGAGATCCCCTTTCTTGAACAAGAGCATAAGGACTGCTATAGACCACCAGGCCAGGAGGAAGCAGTGAATGAGGCTTTCTTCAAACAGCTAGCGGAAGTTTCCCCGATCACAGGCCCTGGTTTTCACGAGGAACTTCAATCACACTGACATCTGCTGGGAGGGCAATACAGCAGTGCGCAGGCAATCCAGGAAGTTTTTGGAGAGTTTTGGGGACAACTTCCTGGTGCAAGTGCTGGAGCAGCCAACTAGGGGCCATGCTCTTCTTGACCTGCTGCTCACAAACAAGGAAGAAGAATTGGTGGGGAATGTACTAGTAGATGGCAACTTGGGCAGCAGTGACCGTGTGATGACTGAGTTCAGGATCCTGAGGAAAGGAAGGATGGAGAGCAGCAGGATAAGGACCCTGCACTTCAGAAGAGCAGACTTCCAAGTCGCTCAGGAAACTCATGGGCAGGATCCCCTGGGAAGCCAGTCTGAGGGAGAGAGGAGTCCAGGAGAGCTGGCTCTACTTTAAAGAAGCCTTACTGAGAGAGCAGGAACAAATTATCCCAGGAAGACTAACAAGAGTGGCAGAAGACCAGCTTGGCTTAGCAGGGAACTCTTCAGTAAACTAAATCGCAAAAAGGAAGCTTATAAGAAGTGGAAACTTGGACAAACAACTAGGGAGGAGTATAAGCATACTGCTTGGGCATGCAGAAATGAAGTCAGGAAGGCCAAAGCGCAATTGGAGTTGCAGCTAGCAAGGAATGTGAAGGGGAACAAGAAGGGTTCCTACAAGTATGTCAGCAAGAAGAGAAAGATGAGGGAGAGTCGGTCTCTTACTGAATGGTGGAGGCAACCTAGTGACAGAGGGCACTGAAAAGGTTGAAGCACATAGGATCACAAAGACTGAGCTATAGGATCACAAAGCTTTGGTATTTTCTTACTCTTGTGATTTTTTTTTTTTTTTTTTTTGCCAGTGTATCTCTGTATCACTATATCTCTCTATATTTTTGCTGCCTTAGAATGCTCTAGAGAGACGGAAGAATTCCAAGAGTCACAGTAGATCCAGTAGCAGTGCTCTGACAGGAGTCCTTTCTGCAAAACAAGGTACTACCTAGATGTCACGTGAGTGCACAGAACTTCATTTATATTTCAGTATCAACTAAAGTTATATTTTCCCTAATTATCTTGTGCATTACTTTTCTCTAACTTTTCTCTTGCCTGCTGTACCCCAAAGTACCTTTCCAATCTATCTAGAATAAAACTGCTGAAATGTTTTTCTGTTTCTTTTTCGTCTAACCACGAATTTTCCTCCTAAGTCCCTCTACTACTTTGGCTTCTTCCTTTCAAAAAGCCCTATATAACTTTGATCCAGATGAGTTTCTTTAGGAATTATGCCTTGCTTAGCTGGCAGACCCAGCCAGGACTCTCTGTTTCAGCAGTAGTGTGGAGAAGGCAGAGAGAAGGTGGGGGGAATGGCAGTTAAGTTCAAGATCCACTCCCGCTCTTGGGAGCTTCTGCATAATAAGCCCCTTCCTACAGAAGAGAAACAGAGCTGTTTCCCCCAGGAGGAAATAAGCAAAACCAGCCCTTAGTTGCCCTTTGAAACACAGTACAGATCAAAAAGGAAAAGTATAATGAGAAAAAAGCATTCTTTTTCTGGATGCTAGTATTACTATTTTTTAGAGTGTGATTCTACTCCTTCCCCTCCTCTGTCCAAGCACACACAGGTATGTGTGTGAACACAAAAGTGCATCCCAGATGTAGTCTTGTTTACTTATATTTATATAGCCACACAAGGTAAGCAAACTGAAGATGCCAGGAGGCTTGTTGATGTGGCTAGTGAAATATAAGGTACAGTCTCTCTAAACTTACATGTGACAGCATTTTACATTGGTCTCAAACAACCATAAGGAATCAATCATTCTAAACATAAAATGTAAGCTTCCTTATTTCCATTTTCTTTTTCATTTAAAGTAGAGAAAATACTCCATTTTTGCCAGTATTAAGAGAACAGGTGCCCAAATGGCAGAGAGGAATTAAGTATCTTTCCTCCTGGAAAGAGACTTACTTGCCAAAAAAAAAAATTAGCTAAGCAGAAAATAAGTCCATCTGTGATTGTCCAGTCAACTGCTGTCAGAAACTGATCAGCTCAAACAGAAATGCTTTTTTTTGACAGTTGAATATTGTCTGCATGGATTATTAAAATAAACCTACTCCTGGTTAAGTAATAAAATAAAACTAAAACTCACTTCTCTTTGTAACCTTTTAGTTCAAGAATTGTTGTCGGAGGATCACGGGTGTAGTCTACCAGCCACACCCCAATCCATTTCAGACCTCAAGTCTTTGGCCACTGCCTTGCTGGAAACCATCCATGAGAAAAACATGGTCATACAACACCAAAGACAAACCAACAAGTAGGTGATAGAACTTGGAAGCAAGGAGAAAACAAGACTGATTTTTAAAAATTGTTTAATATTAGAGTTTTTGTACTGAAGAAGGAAGGAAAAGATGGTCAAATGTTCTGTCTCTATCTTCAGTGAAACTTCTCTCTTGCTGTGAGCAGGTAGTCTACTCTGTTAAAGGGATTTAGGGCCTGCCAGCCATGTTTTGTGACTGAGCCCTTTAGGAATAGATGTTTGGGTTTGGTAGAGAGGATTATCACACCCACCTGGGAAAGAGTTAGGGATTTCCTGAGCAACTCTCGATTCCTACAAAGATTTGCAAAGACCATTTGAAGAGGGAAGCTCTAGGAAACTGGAAGCTGTGGCAGGCCCTAGTCAGAGATTCCCAGGCTAGTAGGACTAAGAAAGACCTGCCAGGAGCAAGGAGGCTCTAGTGAGGAAGCCTCTTGGTCTGGGGAAAGGTAGCCAGTTTTATGTTGAGGTCTGCTAAAGATTACTGTTGGTAATCATCAAGTGGTTTTCTGAAAAAGAAAGAGCCTGAGACGATTCTGGATGTAGCATTTAATCTTACCTAGACTGAGATAAGGCAGCCCCATACTGTCCCAAATGTGTTGCTTGGACACATCCAGGAAAGTTCTTAATGTAGCAGCTTGGCTGTAGGCTTTAGGATGCATACATTTTCAGTTCTTAACAGTACTGTGTGATTTTTAATAATCTTATGAATTCACAGATTCTGCATGCTGAAAGTTACTCTTAAGTGCCCAGCTAATCAGTAATAATCTAGCTATTTCGCACACTTCGGGGTTTCCTTAGTACCCAGCATGATGGCATATAGCTGTCCTTTGATGCAGCTTGACAGTGACTGCCTTTATGTATTGTGAAAGTGGGATTCTAGGAGGAAAGTGTTCTATGAATGTGTTCAGCATTATTGAATCACTGTGGGTAATCAGAGGTAATTCAGCCTTTTATTAAAGGCACATTAGAACCAGATACCAGAAGCAGACAGTCTTCTTTCAGGGAAGGAAGTAGTACTGAAGGAAACTGGATGACACTAGAATAGATGATTTACTTTGAAAATTGATTCTTCTAATACAAAGCAACTTCTTATAGAAATGGCAACAGAATTGGGGGAACAGTTGCATGCTTTGGATAAACAAGAATGTGGTTAGCCAAAGGGAGGCTAGCTAATATGTCATCAGCATTGTGGAGAGGATCTTAGGAGAAGTCAAGGGACCCTTCAGGACTCTCTCTAAGGACCCTGTCAACATTTGTCATTTTGCAGTAATCTGTGTATTATGTCAAAATACTCTGTCAATACATAACCATTCTAATTCATCTGTTCTGGCCTGTAATGAAACATGTATCTATGAAGACATTTAGGGTACAGAGAGATATAATAATAGTATCACTGTAAACAGATACTGCTGTAAGTCTACGTGGATCCAGGATTTTGAAAAGGGAATGTGGAAATAGTGACCATCACTGCATGGGTGGCTTTAGTCCCTGCTCCCAGCCCCTCCCCCTTTCCTCAATCGGGGAAGGCAGACCACGCTGTGGAGCAGCAGCCAGGGACTTCTTAAGTCCCCAGTGGCAGGGTGGGGTTGAGTGACACAGTAGTGCCCTCTTTTGGTGCCCCTGCCTTCTCGGGTTGCTTGGGCCCGTCTCTGTCACTTGCCTGCCACACCTTGATGTTGTTTGGGAAAACAGTTGGCAGGCTACCCAAGGCCCAGAAGCTATCTTGTCTGCTCCTAGGCTGCTCCCTATTGATGTTTTTGGGGACCCAGTACCTTAATGGTTGTATTCGTGGCCTCTGACTTCCCCATCTCCCATGCCTTGCAAGTGTTACCAGTCACTAGCACAACTGAGTTATTTGCCCCACTCAATACTTGGCCTTTCAGGCCTCAGCATCTTTGTAGGCTTCTGCCTCAGCCTTTCTGGTCTTGGCTCCTGTTATCTATCTGGGTTCTTTTACCTTCAGCCTGCTGTTTGGAGCCTCAATTTCTGGGCCCAGACCTCAAGGCCCCTGCTGGCGTGGCTTGTGTACAGCCCTAACAGAGCTCATGCCATTTTCTTCC